TGAACCCCTGCCAGATCCTAAACACGCTCGGATTCCCAGGAGTTATATTCAGCACAATAAGTGGATATTTCACAGTAAATATTGCCTTGTCAGAAAGCTGGCATAAGCACCCAGTTGACAAGCAACAATTGGCTGCTTTGTATGGGTGCTGCGAGGGCTCGTCTCTCTGTCGGCGGCAGTGCTTGGGAGCAGAAATTTCTGCCCGGCTCCAGCCGTCGTTAGCCTTAGGAATTAAAAATGCTTTAAAGAAAACTGCAGATCGTTGAGTCTCAGCGGCCTCCATCTGAACAGTCAGCAGAAGGAATTGGAAAGGCTCGATGATTAATCACAAACACAAAAGCCGGCTGCTGGCTGACGGTAGGTATCCGCTCTTCTCCGAGGAAACCAATTCATCAGCGTTATTTGTGATTCATAACACTTATTTGAGGCAAATAGGCTTATTTAGTACACGGCACCCTGCGCTTGCGTGAAGTTACAAACCAGAAATGTTAATTATTCTCCGTCCTCTCGCCGCTCTGCAGCCCGTCCGGGATTTGGGCAGCGCGGTGTAGGCTGCGGCGGGCGTGCGGCGCCCGGCGCATGGGCTCGGTGCCGAGAGGAGAGGGGTGCTCCTGAGGGGAGGGCTGTGCTCTGTCCTGGGGTTTCACGGTGCGCAGCGTGGTGCGGCTCCAAGGCACGTCTGGGCTCTCTGCGACGGGAGAACGGCAAAGGTTGGGATGAAGAGAGGGATATGAAATGATTTATTGGACTTGTCTGTGTGACTGGTGTTTGTCATCGCTGAGGATGGCTGGCAGTGCACCAGGGAGCACGGGCTTTAAGTGTGGTCTTATTTCTAACAAGAACTTACACCCTCGAGTTACACAGTCCCGACTGGGCAGGGGTAGTTACTATCCGGCTGGATAGACACGAGGGGATACAGTCCTCAGCCATCACCTGTATTTACCCAGATGGTTAACTGCCTGGAAACTGCGGTGCAAACCGGGGGTGGAAAATCATCTTCTGGATGCCCAGGCCCCTTCAAGCAAATGCAGACCCAGAGGAATTATTTGCATGAACCCACGTGAACCCCAGCTGGGAAGTTGTTCGTGTAGGAGGAAATGGGTACGGTGGGAAGGGTGTCCGTGATGAACCCCAAACCTGTGACCCTCAAAACTGATAAATCATGGGGAGAGGGAGTAGATTTGGGACTTGGAAAAGGGCTGCCCCAGGTGACCCCAGGAAGATGGGGTATGGTGTGAACCCCAGGTCCTCTGCGCTCATGGCCGGACAGACAGCAGGTGAGACAAACTAAAGAGCAATCTTAACCTAGAAATCAATTACGTATATCGTAACCGTTTCTTCCCATCTTATATCTGAAAGTTTGATCTTAACTTTGTTTTGGAAAAGGCTTTGCTAGGTTTGGCGTATTGAACCCCCCGGCTGCCCGGGCGCCGGGATCAGGGTGATGAGCAGAGGCGCAGCTGATCTCGGCAGTAAGGTTAAAACCCGGCAAAGCAGCATGAGTGCCGGTGCCGCCGGGAATGGCGGGGAGACCCCATGTCCTGCCGGCACGCCGTGCCCGGAGACTCGGCGTAAGCTGAGGACGTGTCCTCTGCCTTTCTGCACCGCTCCTCCGGGCTGGGACAGCAGCACCGTCTCAAACTCTTCAGCAGATAGAGCTTCAAGAGCATTGCACTTTCCCCAACCTGCCTTAATTAATTGCTCTGTAATTGCACAGAGACATCTGCTTGTGCTTCCCACCTTTTCCCGAGAAATGCATTTCCAATCTGTATTCCTGTCACTGTTCCCTTCTGCTTTCTGATCCCGTTTACTTTGCTAGTGGCTTTGATTCCTGAACTTCTCTTTGAGGAGTTCTTGTCGAGGGGAATCTTTATATTTCGTAGGACTTGAGCAAAAAAAGGCGAAGCAGGCGGGGAATCTAGAATGCATAATTACTGTCAGATCCTATCTGCAGGTTTTGTGAGGAAAGTACGTTGTACTCTGTGAAACACCCAGGTTTAAAAGCTTCACAGCCTTCTAGTCGGCTGTTCTGTAGCACAGGGGGAAAAATGTGCATAACATCTGGTCTCTATCATGCAAGAGGTGCTTTGAAATTTGTGTGCTATTGCCAATTTATATCGTCCTGTTCTTTTTGTGCGTGTCGCACGGATCAGATAAGCCTGTAGTACCGGCGGATTGCTGATTCCTGTTGCACCGACACGTGCCACCTCTGCCGCCCCGTCTCTCGCGCGGGGAGGGGGTACTCGACCGCTGCTTTTGGAAACAGAAAAGTGGCTCCAGGTTTTTAATACCAGTCTCTTTCCAGGAATAAAATGAAGTTTATTTCGTTTCGCTGTCCTGCTCTTGTTGCCCTGAACGTCCTCTCAAGTTCCTATTCATTCTGCCCTTGCCCATTAGCAATACTTTATTAGTCCCCCACCTTCCCCTGCTCCTGCTGGGTAGCGATTCTGGCTTTCTGTGCGGTTTTTCTTGGGAGTTGTCAAAGAATAATTACGCCCCATTAACTCCACTTTGTATCATTACTAATTCACACCTATAGAGTATTTTCCAAGCAACTGATCTCAGTTGTCTCTTAATTGCTGAAGTCCATAAACTCTATTAGGCTGAAACCGTGCTAAGGATTTGCACCCTCTAAAACGTTTCCCTCCAGTGCGAAACATAACAGAGAATGTGAGTGCGGCAGCTTTATCAGATCTTATTTCTTCTCAATTTAAGCAAATTATTTGCTTCTGGCTCTGTTGAAGACTACAAAATGTGTATGAAGATGTAAAAAGCGAGAGACTGGAAGCACGGTGGAAGTACAGATCATGTTCCCAAGGGGTTAATCCAAGTTTGAGTTACTGGGTGATGTTGGGTGGTTGGCTGAGGTGGAAAACCGAACGATATCCCTCTTGCACCCGTTCGGTGGGTCGGAGCAAGCAGCCTGTGTATGGTCCGAGGTCCAGCTGTGTCAAATATGCCCGGACTTGCGTTGATAGGCACTGACCCAGGATGAGGATCTGGAGCTCGGCTGGGCGCTGCGGCAGCCCAGCACCCGGAGCATCCCCTGGGATGCTTCCCAAAGGACTTCACCTGCAAGGGAGCTGGCACTGGTGAGCGATGGTGGGAGAAACCGGGTTTCCCGGCTGCCCCACACCCAGCACGGTGGGCGGTAGCCAAAAAGGCAGCGTTGTGCAGCACGGGGCCGGTGGCTTCTGGAGGCAGAGCCAAACGCAAGCCCTTGCCAGGGGCGCCAAGAGAGCGGCAGGAACAGGCAGATGCGTTTTACCAGTTTATTCCATTTAATGTGATTAATAAGCAGTTTCATCCAGGTTGAGCCTGAAGCTTAGCGTGCTCTAAAAAAATCACCCCAAACCCCCCTACCCCAAAGGGAGCAGTCGGTGTACGCTCTTCAGCTAAAGCACTTGTCCCTGCCTGGCCAAAGAGCTTGTCCCGCACCCCACCTCAGGGCCGGCTCCTTGGGCGTCCCGGTTGGAGCGGACGGACGGATGGACGGACGGACGGATGGACGGAGCTGCTGCCGTCTCCGTTTGCCGTCAGCTGTTTCTGCGAGGAAATAAAAGGCTCAATATCCGAGACCTGCTTGAGCCAGCGCAGCGAAGTGCTGCTCAAGCTCGCTTCAGATAACAAATGGTTTCAACTGAGCATAAAAGAAAAAAAATACTGTTGGTAGCAACCCTTATTTCCCTGGAAAAAAATCCCAGACCCCTGGCAGAGAAACAGTTTCTGCACAGAAAACATGACACTATTTACAAAAAGCGATGTCTAATATCCTTTTCCAGCTTGGAAAGAGGAGTTTGTTTTAATACATCCTTTTTTAATTGCCATGAGCTGGACTTGTAAATATTGTAAGTGGTTGAGTAATAGTCATCTGTGAGCGGACCAAATGAAGGGACATTTTTTCCGCTCTTGGAGCCCTAACATATTCCCACAGCCCTGACGGGGGACAGCATGGAGCAGATATTAACCAAAACAAAAGCCTTCTAATTAAAAGATCGATTAAGCCCGGAGGACGCCTGCGGGCGTGATGCCGGTGCCCGACGCGTGCCGTGGTCCAGCGGCCGTGTCGGGAGTTCACGTGTTGGGGCTGCATGGGGAGGTGATGGGGTGGACCACAGCGATCCAGTCCATTTTCAGAACAAGATGCCTTTCCCTCCTTGAAGAAAGAGGAGAGAAAGGGGGGAGTTCTCCCTAAGAAAGGGGAAACTAAGGAGAATTCGTTTTCTCTAGCAGGCGCCCGACAGCCATGTCGCCTTATTGCTATCGTTTAGTTGAGAGAGAAGATCTGCTTTGCTGGTTTGCTGGATCAGTCTTCAAAACGATCCATAACTTACATTTTTTTAACACCGTCCTTCTGCAGAGCAGCATGGTGTGCCCGAACTCAAAAACACTCGTAAAGTTTTGTAAGACGGTGTTAGTCATTCATTTCTGCTGTCAGCCGGTGCGGGTTTGGGGCAGGACGGAGCACGCTTGGGCCGAGCTCTGTTAGACTCTCGTTAATGCTGGCTGATCTTCATTTTCCCAAGTCAGGTACATACCCGAAAGCCCTGCTTTTGCTCTGCAAATAGCTTTGTCTGAAAGCAGGAGTAGTTTGTATGGGAAACAATTTCCTGATGCAATTTGGATTTCCTTCTGAATAATCCTTTGCCCCCGTGGGATGGTACAGAGGGATTCTAGGAAAGCTTAACTGGCCTTGCCATGAGTTAAACATATCCCTTAATCTTTGCGAGGCAGATGTTTAAGTAGGAAGATACCCTGCAGGCACTGTTAAAAAAAAAATAATTTGAAGGCTCGGGAAGAGAAAGAACTGCTCTACCAACGTGGGGTTTGAGTCCACGTCGCTGTCCAGGTCACCGGCGTGCAGGGATCTGGTGAGAGGCTTGTACGGGGGAAAATCAGTCTCGGGGAGGAGGAGCAGGACTCAGAGGAAGAATTTAATTGCAAAAGACCAATTGTTAAAGGTGAAGGCAGCAACCTTAACGTCGTTTCATCTTTTCCAGGAATGCTGGTGGTGATCGTGCTGCTGCTGATCGCGATTGCTGTGGTCGCTGTCTGGCCGACGCACTAACGCGGGTGCGGGGCCCGGCGGAGCTGCGGCTCGCCAGCTGAGCGCGGAGGGCTCCGGAGGAGAGAGCGACGTTGTGCAAAGGCCTTCTGTGCTTTCAATAAACTCAACAGTATGAGAATGAAGCTGTGTCCGCCAGACGTCCGTTCTGCCTTCGGTGCACGGCTGAAGAGCGCTGCGTGATTTGGAGGGTTGGCACTCGACAAGGACTCTCTTCCCGCCTTCATTTGGCATTCGGCAGGCTGCAGCTGGCTGTACAACAGATGCGCTCGGTGCATCTGCGTCTGAGCCCGCGCTGGGGTCAGGGTGCTGCCTGCCCGGCCCACCACCGCTTCTGTGGAGCGGTCCGTCGTCCCCAGGGCTTTAAAATACTAAAATAAAGGTGCGGTTTGCGAGTACAGCGGTGGCACTCCTCTGCTTTCCGATACCTTCCTTCAGAATGAAAACTCTTACTTGTTTCAAGGAATAAATGTTTTTGGGGAATGACTGCATCTGGATTCTGGCAGGATGGGACGTGAGAGCACGCGGAGCCCTGCGGGGCGGCGCGGGACCCCATGAGCTGCCCAGAACCGCTGGCGAGTGAGTCGGTCCTTGGCCCCTGGGGGAGCGTTACCGGCGTCCATCTCCACGGACAGAAATGCACCCAGCAGCGGGTCTTGAAGCAGCGGAGAGCCCTGCCCGCCGTGTGCCCGTGAGGAAGGCCTGCTCTCCACGGGCTCTGCCGCGCTCTGCCTCATCTACGTACTACGTACTAATCTCGGCGATCGAGGTCTGCCTCTTTCTTTTATAACTTTTCACACACTGTTAAAACTGAGAGGAAGGAGTACCTATTTAAAAACTAATGAAAAAGAAGTATTGAATGTTCGCTTCTGGCCAAGAAAATCATTATTTTGTTATACGTGCCAGTTTGATTTCAGAATTGATAGAGCAAGCAATAAATACTGAATAAAAGCCGATCCATTTATATACAACTTATCTGCCTGGGTTTTTATTGTTTCCTACCATCTCGTGTTCCACTTGAATGATTCTCCAACGCTTCCGTTTCCTGCGAGCTGATTTGGAGAAGGAAAAAAGCAATTCCTGGCAGACTTCGTGTGTATCATAACATACGTTTCCTGGCGGATCCGTAACACTTGCCAGCCCTGGGCTGGTCCTCATCTCCCTCCACGGCTCTCACCGGGCTCTCAGCACTCGCATCCCTCTCCCTGCTCTCTGCCCGCACAGCTGGGGCAGTGGCACGTCGAGCAGGTCTAGCGCTGGTCTGGGAGGTGGGAAACCAGGGTGCCCTGGTGCTGCATCCCCTCTTGAGCGACGCGAAGCCGTTTTGCTCTGCTGGACTCAGTTTCCCCATCTGTCAGGTGGGACTGAGCACTGGCCCCTTGGTTAAGTGCTTGGCGATGTGCAGATTGGAGTGCAAAACTGCTCTTCTCCTTGCAGGTGTTGGCTGGAGCTGAGGCTTTGACCCAGTCGCTCCCGGCTCCGAGGTGGGACCGACAGACCTGGCTATGACGGGAGAAAACGGGGGTTTGCAGGAAGCAGAGGCAGGGAACTGTTGAGTACCCCACCGAATACAGAGCACATTGACGGACAGGAGCCGTTCCCTGGCGCTGAAGAGCACCATTGCCCTGGCTGCGTGCTTCTGGGAAGGGCAGGGGGTAGGGGGGGAGCAGAGCTCGGTGGAAAAAAGCCCCCGTAGATACCTCTGAGCCTCGTGGTGCGGGGCATGGGGCTTCAAACGGGGCTCCATGCTGGTGCCCAGCCCGTCTTCGGGTGCTCAGCATTGAAGGTCAGAGCTGGAGGGAGACCAGCTCCTCTGGAGGGACTCGAAAGCTTGGGCCAAGGCGGATTGTGCTCAGCTGGCTTCGGCACCCTCGTCTGGTGTTCGCAGCCAAAGGTGGGAGACCCAGGCTTGGACTTGGTGGTAGGTAACTAGATACCACGTTCTGCCTGCGAAGCAAACGAAACGGTGCCCGTGGCTGGGAGGGAGCCGAGTTGTCCGTGTGTCTCCATGTGCTTTGCTAGAGAAAATCCTTCTTGAAGCCTTTAAAAGTCCCGTCCAGGTTGTGCCTGCTTGCTTGCTTTTCCCTGGAGAGATGCTTCATCTTACAACCTTCAAAGGAGGGGAGGGGAAAAAAATTGTTTTACGTTCTCATGGTTTTCAAAAGGACACAACAGGTTTTTGATTAGCTTATTGCTTGATCTCAGATTAGAAACGGAGCTTTCAGCAAGGCTGCTCCAGCTGGAAACACATAAAGGGCAGCTTTGGAGACGTGTTCCAAACTTCTGCGGTCCTGCGGTTCGTGTGCGGAGGGATCGACGCTGGAAACTGCTGGAGCTGCTCCTCAGCAGCAGCAGCCCGCGCCCGAGCCCCGCAGCGGGATTGCGCTCACGGCTCCGGCGCAGCCTCCCGGGTGTTTGGTGACAGCAGGCGAATAACGGCGCCGGTTATCAAGATGAGCCTACGGACCTGGGTTTCTAATTAAATCTGTCGTTTACGGAAGGAATTAAGGTTTTGTTTGAATTCCCAGGACACGCGGGATGGATGTGTAATTCATCCTGATCAACGTGTCATGGTAACTTTGTTCTGATAGAGGCTTTAAAAAGATGTTTTCTGACCTGGTGGGTCCTCAAACACATTTTTTCTGTTAGTGCCTGGGGAAGGTAGAAACGCGAGGCTTTGCTCTGCTGAAATGCCTAACAAAGGGGTTCTCAGACTTGCCCTTTAGGTAACATTTAATGTGTCGTGTGGGTGAGGAGTTTTATTAAAAAGAAGTGGATTTGGCAGCGTTCCGCCATGTGTGGAAAGCTTTTCTGTCTCCCTGCCCCGCCGAAGAAAAAGGCAGGTTCCAATACCAGAGCTGGTTGCTGGCTCTGAGCAGGCGGGGTTGGAGGGCCTGGCTCGCCGGGGTCCGCCGCAGTTTTGCCGCGCTGCTGCCTGCTCTGATCTGCGGGCACGGGGCGCGGGGTGCTCAAGCTGCCCGATGAACCTGCGCCGCGGGGCTGCTGGAGTCGCGCACCCGCGGAGGCTTCCCCAAGCTGAGAGAGACCCCGTTTCCCTGGTGCCCACCCGGAGAGCCGTCCCCGGCTTCGCCTTCCCTTGCACCTCCGCCATGTCTCTGGAATGAGGACCTGCTAGGGAGTTTAGCCGTTTCCAGTTGTTATTTCATCAAAAATACAAGTGCTGGGGGAAGATCTGGTACGTGTTAGAGGTTCTTACATGTCCAAGTGCCCTTGGTAAGAAGTCCCTAGCTCCTACGTGGGGATAAAGATGATCTTGAAAGGCTGCTGGGCATTTTCCCACGCCCTTATTTCTGGAGGTCGGGTGCGAGCTTGGTGCTGGGCTTGACACAGCAGAGAGCTGCTCTCCCGTGCTGCCCGGCGGGACCAGGCTGAGAGCAATAGCTCCGGGTCCAGCCCGCAGTGGGAATCGCCTCTTTCCCCTGTTTTCAGAGCCACTGCGTCTTCTTTGGACACCCGGCCGCTTGCCAGGAGGACGCAGAGCCAGAGCGATCTGGGAAACCCATTTGCTTCTCTGGGGAGCCGCAGGCGACAGCCCCGGAGCAGAGGTGGTGGCATTCGTGACCCATTTGTCTCCGCAATAAAGATCTGAGATTTCTGACCTCCGAGATGTTTTTGAATTCATAAATTACCAGTGACGCTAAGGGCGTGGATCACACGCGCTGACCCCGCGGCAGTTTGCAGGACCTTTTGCCTGTATTTTTCTCTCTGGAAGTGTTTTGCTGCCTCAGTTTCCCCCCGCCGCCAGCTTTCTAGCATCTCTGTACCACCAGCCCGTGCCTGGCCTCGAGCACCAGCTGCTTCAGCGGCGCCTGGCGCCGTGGGCGCCCCGTGGGAGCTGGGTGATGGAGCCCGGACCCCTGCGGCCTGTGGGCAGAAAGGGACGGCGCTGGCAAGCAGCCTGTGGATGGGGGCAGCAAACAGGTGCGGAGCGGGGCTGGTGGCTCCCCTGACCCCAGGCTCTGGCTGTCCCCCATCCCCATGCCTGTCCCCCATCCCCACGCCTGTCCCCCAGCCCCACGCCTGTCCCCCGTCCCCATGCCCGTCCTCCCCCTCTGCGCGGGGTCCCGCAGGTATCGGCATGCCCTGGCTCTGTCCCACTGCAGGGCACGGTCTCCTCCGGCGGCAGAGGAAGGATGGGGATCCCGGCGGGATGTACCGGTGGGATGTACCCAGTCCAGAGCTCACAGCAATCCTGAAGAGCCCAGAGGTGCCGGCGGGGACCCCCACCCACCACCGTGAGCCTGCGGTGACCCCCCTGTCCCCAAGGGCTGTGGCCGCCGGCGGGGAGGGTGCTGGGAGGGTGCTGGTGGGACAGACGGCGGGGACAGATGGCCAAAAATAGCTGTGTGCCACCTCGGCCCCTGCCAGAGGGACGCTGGCAGAGACCTGGGGAGGTGGAGGGGACACCGTCACCTCCCTTCCCAGGTCCCCAGCCCTCGGCCTGGCTGGCCTGGAGGAAGCAGAGATCCTTGGAGGTTTTTACAGTTTACAAGAGTTTATTCAACTGGTTTCTGACTTTAGTTCTACTGGGTGGGTGCTGAACAGTTACAAGCTCCTTCGGATTCAATTACAGCCAATCTAACGAAACAAACAAATGAAGAGGCAAAAAAAAAAAAAAAGAAACAAAAAAAGGAAACAACTTGGAAAAACAACAAGAAAATCCACAACTTTTTCACGTGTCATTAAATATATTCATATATAATAACCATAATATATTAGTATGCATTGTAAAGAAACATCGCCCAAAGCAGTATGCAATGGTCATAACTAAACAACATTTACAGTTCAAGATATTAACAGAAATAATAAAAAAAAAAAAACAACCAAACAAACCCCCAAACGAACACAGGTTTTGTGAGGGGAGAGGAGGCGGGTGTGCGGGGAGAGGGCACGGACACGACGAAACGAACAGAAACGAGACGGAACGACTTTTGTCAGGTGCTACCGTCGGGTGATGATTGTTTTGGCATTTCAGCTGCTCTCCGAAGCCGCGCTGAAGGTGCCGCGGCCCCTTCCCCGGCCACCCCCTCCGCCCCCAGGACCTCGGGCCGGTCCCCGGGGTGATGGGTGGGCGCTTGGGTTCCTCGCTGGGTGTAACGGGGCCGGTACCCGGCCGCCCAGGCTGATGGTTAGGAGTGGCATCTTGTCCCTCTTGGGGTGACGGGCCAGAGGTCTCCCCCCAGGAGATGTCCTGGAGCAGGGAAGAGTCGCATCCCCAACATCCCGAAAACGGGGCTGCTCTGCCTTCCCCAGCGGAGGAGGGCTGTGTACCAGTTACACCAGCTGCTCCTGCAGGTCGAGGTTACTGGGAGCGCACGAGGGGCACTGGGGGACCACGGGTGGAGCAGACAGGCTTCTCTAGTCTGGTTGGAAAGGGCAAAACTCCAACAGGGATCAAGGGGCAGGGTCCTGGTGGGACAGGGATGGGGACTTTGCTTCTGCAGGTCACTCTGGCTGCGGCAGGCTCCAAGTTGTTTCATGTCTTGTGCAAACTCCGTTTCTTTCTGATTTCCCAGGTTGCGTCGGTGCCTGGAGGGGTCCGGCCACGGGACGGGGTGGGTGGCGTTTCTTCGGCAGCCTCCCGACCTGGTGGGATCGGGGAAGGGGCCAGGGCTTGTTCCCGGGGGGGTTTGGGGGTGTCAGGGCTGTGCTGGCGAGGACGGGCACGCTTGCCAAGCTTGGAAAATGGGAGCGAGCGTTGGGTGTCCAGGAGCGCTCGGTGGGCAGCTCCTGAGTCCCCACGTCCCCTGGCCTTGCCTTCCTGCTCTGGCTTTGGGTCGGATTTGGTTGCTTCTAGGCCATTTGGTCTCCTGCAGTTCAAGGGCATCCTGGCAAACCGAGGACAAGCTGTCCCCAGCCGGCGCGGGCTGTCCCTGCCATCAGCTGATGCTAGCTGCAGGAGAGCATCCAAGCCCCGCTTTGGGGCTTTAAGCCTCCCTTTAGACACTTGAGATCAGATTTTATCCTTCAAAACTTGGTGGCTTGGGTTCCCTTGACTGCAAAACTGTTGGTTCTCCTTGAGCTCTGAAGTAAGGAAAACCAGACTGGCTCTGGGTAAGGGGAGAAAACACAGGCTTGGGGGGTTGCTTGGTGTCCCAGGTGGGATTTCTCTCCTAATACCCAAATTAACTTTGGAGGGGCCTCGTGGCTGCAGGGGGAGGCTCAGCAGAGCTCCTTCCCTCCGGGTGGTGTCTCCAGCAGCCCGGGGCTGGCCAGTGCTTCCCTGGGAGCCCTCCGCTTTACACCTATTTACATGGCTGCCTCGCTTTATGGTGGTTTATGTCATTATATAAATATTGTCAATTGCTATAAAACAAGGCAAAACCACTGGAAAATGTCATAAAATAGATGTTTCCAAGTTTCCTAAAAGGAAAAATATCAGGGAGGTTTTGCTTTTCGTAGCGACTAATGTTTGCTTCTCCTCCAGGTACTGCCCTCCCTGCCTTGCCTTTCCACCCCGGCTATTGCCTGTCTCCATCGGTTAGGTGAGCTCCGATACCCCCGTTCCTCGAGGGCCGGTGTGGCGGGGGAGCAGCCTGGCAAGGGGACGCGATGGCAAACAGCTCAACAGCCAGTCCTGCCCATGCAGTGCCCCGGGGGAAGACGCTCCAGCCCTCAGGCTGGGGCCTGGGCTGTGAGACGGAGGCGAGGCAGCCGCTACCTTGCTTCGTGCATTAGAGATTGGGAATTATAGATTTGCTGGTTTCCACCCCCAGCAGAAGGAGGAGAGCAATTTGGGGAGCTCCGGGTGGGTCACACTGTGCTCATCCCGCCCCGGCTGAGCCCTTCCCTTGGAGCAGGTGTCTGCCCGGCGTTGGCTGCAACCTGGCCAAGGCGTAGAGCTCTGCGCTGGCCCCACTGCCCGTGGGGACGGTCCCTTGGCACCCGCCGTCCCACCTCCTGTGTCTCCCAGGGGGGCTGGCCGCCTTATGCAGGGCTGCTGGGGAGCTCCAGCTCCAGAGGGAGCGAGGGCAGAGCTGGTGTGTGTTCGGGAGAGCTGGATGAGTTTGGGAGCGAAACCGTTGCCAGCCAGGACCTCGGTGTCATCTGCGCGGATTTTCTATCATGAGAGGGTTCATCAGTCTGCTGATGGAGGCAGAGAGGACGAGGCCCATGAAGGAGGTCTCAAGGGTGGCCGCGGTGGAGACCCAGGGGCTGCGAGGGGTGAGATCTTCCAGGGCACCTACAGGAACTGGACGCCAACTTATTTTTTTGCAAAGTCTGGGTGTTTCCTTGGGGATCCTGGTTACAACTCCTGGTCACAACTCCTCGGCTGTGAATCGGTGGCTGGGAGGGGGCCAGGGCATCCCATGGGCTCATGCTCCTTCGGCTGGTGGGGGGCAGCGCTCCTCAGGGCGTGGGGGCCGGAGCAAGGAGTCGCTCCCCGAGTTCTGCCTACGCAGAAGGCGCCCGCTAACGTGGGCTCCTCGTTGCTGTGCCTAACCTGGGATCAGCGCATCGCCACGGCCGGAGGCCTCGGTCGCTCCTCGGTACTGTACAGCGGGTGATGGTTACAGCTATCGGATACCAAAGAGGCTTCAAATAACCCACATCAGTCGATCCTCGGATCTGTCCTCGGTGATAAGTCTCTGTTTAGTTTCCTCTACGATAACCTTCTTGTTCCACCTAAGCTGAGAATACGTATTTTTGGGGATGGGGGGCTAATTTCCAGCATTGCCATTGATTAGTTCCTTACAGGTTTGATGTTCCCGTGCCGTGCTTTGGAAGCAGCAGATGTTAGCGGCTGGAAGGCAGTTTGGTGTCTCTGATTTCTTCAGCCAACAGGGCAGAAAGAAGCTGGGGGGCACCGGCTGCCGCACGCCTGCACCCACCCTCCTCTTGTTTTATATCCACGTGTGCGATTTTTTTTTTTGTCGTGTTTTGTTTTGTTTTGTTTTCTCCCGGAATACGAGGTACAAACCTGGCAGCCCCACAGCCGCGATTGCCATCCCTCCCGTCCCCCCCAGCCCGCCCCGGCAGCGCGACATTCCTCCCGCCGTCCCCATCGCCGGTCCCTGCCCGCCCCAGCTCTACACAAAGCAGCATGCACAGTCAGTCTCTCCCTCTCACGCGCTCCGTTGCCTTCTCCTCCTTTAGGCTTTCTTACACTTCCCCTTCTTCTCCCGCTGCTGGAACTTCCTGAGCCGCCGAGCCCACGTATCCCGCCACTGGATCACCAGGCTGGTTTTGTCCGCAATGATGCCGCTCTGGTCGGGAGAGTCCTCGTTGTTGCCCAGCAGCAAATACTTCTTCATGGGCTTGATTTTGGGGCACTTGCACGCTATGTCCTTGGAGTGGATCCATAGGGTCTGGTCTCCGCGCCGTATCCGGTTGCTGCCTTGTTTGTAGACGGAGATGATGTTGACCGTGAACTTCCACCAGTCGGCATTTTTTTCCGCTTTCAGGATGTGGATCTGGACAGCTGGAAAAAAAAAAAACGAGGCAAGAGAGGAAAAGATCTTACGGTTTGAGCTGGCAAGAAGAAAATGAATTTTAAATCTTACCTAACAGGCTGTGTGAGGACAAGGGATTTTGTCTCCTGAGCCCAGGCTGGGGGAGAGCGACCACGGGTGGTGATTGCACAAAAACTACCTCTGTCCCCAGGCCATCGCCGTGAGCAGGAGTAGCCAGTGCTGGTAGCAGAGGGTCTCAGCAAAGGTACTAAGACCACCATAAGCCTGAGAGATGCTCTCCAGCTCTGCGGCCGCAAAGGCAGCCCTCTGGGTCCCCAGCGAGCGTGGGTATGGTTACCCAAGGCCCCCGGGGGGCTGGGAGCAGCTGTACTCCGGGAACCATGGCACTCCGTGCACTAGGAGCCCTGGGAACGGCACAGGGCTACCCGGAGCGCTGGTGGGGAGCAGGTTGCCTCGTTCTCCTATCCGTGTCCTAGGGAGGACCATCATCTCCCAGGCTCTGGTTGTGAAGCAAACACAGAGGGAGCAGTTCCCCAGGGCTGTTGGTGCAGCAACATCTGCCCCAGCACCTGCGAACGCTTAAAGCGATCAAAAGAATCTTTAAAAATCAGGTGGATTCACCTACACTGGACCCTGCCTTTTCCTTTGAAGCAGCAAGCACAGAGAAGATCCACAAACCCAGGGCCAGGTTGTGCCTGCAGCCCCGGGGGGTGGCGGAGCGCGGGGCAGGGGTTCTGTGCACACAGCGTGCGTTGCAGTGGGCACGGCAGCGAGGTGCCTGTCCCCATCGGCCATGCCAACACCCCGGGCTGCGCCGTAGGACCCGGCACAAGCTTCCTTCCTGACCCATGTGTCCAGAGAGCAGCACGTGCTTCAGCCAGAGGATGGGTTTCTCCAACCCCTCTGCACTCCCTTCCTCACCTCTCAGCACATCTGCACCAGGGCTCTAAGCAGCCCCAGGCTTCAAGAGAAGATGAGCCAAAATCTGGAGCAAAACACTGGGACTGGCCCATATCTCCAAGCATTTGGCATCTGTAGGTAGGAAAGACCTGTTAGGGCCTCCGGCACGTCTGCCCGGGGCCAGCCCAAGGAGACAGCTCTCCATGAGTGCCCAGCCTCGGAGCAGGACACTGAACGGGTTCAAACCTATCAAAGGATTTGGAAATGGGGAGATTCACTGTTGCGTGTTTCTAGGAGATGTTCCTGAGCCAATACTGTTCAGTGCTTGCTGTGGAAGATGACATTCATTGCTGGTTAAAAGCATGGGTGAAGGACTGAGGGCAGGGCTCGGTGATCTTAAGGATGTCAGTGGCAGCACCCAACCTGACTTCTGGGTCTGGTGGACTCACTTGAGCTTCTCTGTAAATACTGAATAGCAACATCGGGCTTGAAGGGAGTATCTTGGTATGCAGCGTCCTGGCAGAGAACTGGGAGATAACAAGCTCCCAAAGCAAGACTGAGATGAGAGGACAACTATGAACCATAAACAAGAGGCTGATGCTTTCCAAGCCCGTGGCTGAGGTTGTGTAGCCCATCTGTAGCCATATGGACTGAGAAAACCTCCTGAGAAAACCTGGTGAGGACTCAGCCCTCCACTGCTCCACCCCTTGCTCTTTCCTGAAGCATGGTTCATGCGTTACATTATCCCTGCACCCACCAGCATCCGTGCTGGAGTGGTGGCCCGTGGTCCCGCAGGGCCAGTGAGAAGGTGACTTGGCATCATGAGCTGGGCAGGAGAGGACTCTCCGCGGGGCTGTCCACAAAAGTGCTGGGATGGCGATGGACACTGGTTTGCTTCCAGTGTGCTCGAGGGTAAGGCTCTGCTCACGGCTGATTTCGGGAGCCCCCGGAGCCACTGTGGTTTTGTCCCATGGGGCAGCCCCAGGCTGCAGCCCAGGTGGCCCTGAGCAGGCTACGGTGACCTCTGCCAGCCCTCCTCCTCCATCCCTACAGCAGGTGCTGTTGTGCCCTTTCTGGGTGACATCCGTGGACTTGGGTTCAAACCACAGGGAAGGATGGAGGCCTGCGTCGGAAAGGGAGCGTTTGGTCCCACAGCATGGCAAGGAAGAGGAGATACAAGTCTGGAGGCAGCTCCTGCTGCTCCGGTGGGCTTTCTGATGGTGGTCCATCATGGCACAGAGACGGCAGAGGAGGCCGGGAGCAGCAGTTGGCTGAGATCGCATCCTCCAGGGAGGCTGAACACATTCCTCCTTGCTAAAAATCAGCTTCCAGGAAAGTATCTTCAGCGGGAAGTGACGGCCCAGCCTGCCCGGGTTTGTTTGCTGACTGTGGGATGAGTAGTCCCCACCAGCAGAGACAGAGGGAAAAACCCGGGTGGCGATGCCAGCCCTGGCCAGGAGAGCAGGCAAGGCCAGCGGCTCCGTGCAGGCTGGCGCAGTCTAACCCAAACCTGCTTTTTGACCAAATCTTTAAGCTTTTCCCTTTTTTTTCCCCCTTCCCCTCCATGCCCTGTGAGCTCTAACCCCCTGCCTGTCCACCTGCCTGTCCCAGCCATCTGGCCAGTCCCTGGTGGGTCCAATCTCGATTGCATAAATTATCAGAGGGAGAAGAAACCTCAAAGAAACCCAGGCAAAACTCTCCCATTTGCCTTGTAACAACCCAATTTTACCCCCCCGCATTAGTGGTGGAGGAGCATCATGCTCGCTTTCAAACCACAACGTGCAAACTGATTTCAGGCTATGGAAGGAAGCGGGGCTCTTCTGCAGCCCAGCAAGGCTTTTTAACACGTTGCAAAAATATATGTGGGTTTTTTTTTTTTTTTTTTGGAGCATGTCATGGACGCCAGATGCTTTCATTAAAAAAAAAAAGAAAAAAAACAACCCTAAGCTCTGACCGTGTATTTCCCAGTCTGGTGTGAAGGTAGCAAAATGTGAAGATTAGCCAATTTTTATTTTTTTTGAAACAAATTTTTCCAAAAAAGCTTAAACCTTTGACCTGCCTGGGTCCACACTGACAAAATGGAGAAAATGAATGAAAAGGAACCGGAGAGAGGTGGTTACAGGAAACTCCGCTCTAAAATACACAGTCTGTATTTTTTTGATGTCAAGGCCCCCGTCTCTTATTTTTTTCCCCTTTTATTAATGAAGTGGAAGGAGTGAAAGCCTCGGTGAAGGCTTGGCTGGCATGGCCGCAGCTGCCTTCACTGACAGCGACTTTTCTGCCCATAACTTTGCATCCAGGACGCGTGGTTTCCCCCAAGCCTGGTTTCAAAGCCCAAGTTTAGCGGTGACTTACCCGGGTATTTTGGTGGTGGGGTGGGGTCTCCAGCATCTCCCAAGGGACATGAGATGTGCGGAGATGCAGAGAGGTGCCAGGAGGAATTTTTGGAAGCACCTAAGCTGGCTCCCCTGGTGAATCCCCAGGGATTTAGGGATGTGTTTCTCATGAAAGAAGGCTTCTGTTCTGTCATGGTTTTGGGGGGACTCAGCTGCACCCCACCACCCGAAAGCTGGCTTTGGAGCTTGATGTTGTCTTTCACCTGCCTTTTCCTAGGACAAAGCTTGGCTTTGCCTGTGCCATGGTGACCTGCTGGCACTTTGCTGATGTTCATTGAACCCTGTACAGATGCTGAGCTGCACTGGGGACCATCCCTGTCACTGCATCCCCAGAAAAATGTCCTTGTCTTTGGGGCAGCCAGACAGAAGGATGCAATAGGGAATGATGGATATTCAAGCGGGTGGCAGAGATGATGCTCCCCTGGCTGTGGTCTCCTGGGAGCGGATGGTGACCCGGAGTGGGAGAACAAAATCAAATGAGCAGCAGCTTTCCCTGTGCTGCCACTCCAGTGACACTGGTTTCCAGTGGCTCTGGTCCAGGTCCCAAGCACAGCGGTGCCTTGGGGTTGCCCTCAGCTTGTGCCCGCTCCTCCCCATGCTTTGCAAATGGTGGGCAGCCAAGCCCTGCGGGTAATTTGGGGCTGGCTGCACCCCCCAGGTATCCTCGTAGCACCAGGGATTTTGCTCCAGGCTTGCTATTTTGCGCCCTGCTCCCTGTAAGCCCCAAGGGAGCCCCCAGTCATCCAAATGGGTGCTGACAGCTGAAGGACAGGGGCTCGAGGGGTGAGGGAAAGATCGGTCCTGGTGAGTGCATGGTGCTGCCCCATTAACCACATCCCACCTGACACGGATGCCGCTGAACCACAAATCCTGCGCCAATGGTGCCTTACACCAGCCCAGGCAATGCGTTCAAGTGTCTCCCCATGTTACACTTCTTTCTAAAGAAAAAGGTGGCCAAGTGGTCCCTGGGCTGCGGGAGGGGATGGGGGGTCCCTGGTCCCCTCCTGCATCCCCCGGGGCTCAGCTCTGGGGCCCGTGATGCTGCCCGGCTCCTTGAGGCTTGGCTGGGAGCCTCCAGCCACAAGAAAGACCTGACGGCTTGATGTTGCAGATGAAAGCAGAGGGGTTGATGATTTGATGTTAATAAAAACAAAAACCAACCCCAAACCCTCAAAACAACATGTTTGAGGGCAGCTGCGTAAAGGCTTAAATAAAAGCAGTGCCTCGCAGCATTCAGAGACTGTGAGTCAGGGGCCCAAAAATCATGAGATTGCCATGAAAAGAGTGAGGCTGGAAAAAAATTATATTTTTTTTGGTTTTTTATTTACTTTGGGGGTTTGTGATAAATCTCCTGATTTCAAGCTTTCCGCTGCCAAAGCTAAGCTGGGACTGGGCTACATGGACAAACCTATGCATCCTATGCGCTAACCTGACTCTGGGAGCTGGAGCTTTGTGGAGCTTCCAGTGATGGGGAGCATCACTGTGCTGGCCCCGGGGCAAGATCCCACGGGACTACGGGGGTGGCAGCGGGAGCAGAGTGGTTTGCTGGGAGAGACAAGAGAGTCTTTAATATGGACAGACGGAAACGGGTACTGGGGACAGTGGCTGTGGATGCCGGTGTCCCAGCCTGAGCCAGGGCTTTCCGAAGGCTCTGGTCCCTTGTCACCGCACAAACAGAGCAGAGCCTGTGTGGATTTTACTCCAACCAGCAGCAAAAGGTGACCTCGACACCATTCAGGTTTGGGAAGGGAAAGGGCTGGATCCTTGCTGGAGCAAAGGGTTAAAATGGGATTTTTTCCCCCTCCCCCTTTTTTTTTTTTCTAATTTATTTGGCGGTGGCTTTGTCGGCCTCCAGTTGCCAATTTCCTACTGGTTTAATATTGGAGATTTATGACCGCTAATCCCAGCTGGCCTGGGTGCGCCCGGGCCCGGCACGGTCCCTCCCCGTGGTGCCGGGGGACCCCTCGCTGCCCCAGCTCGCTCCCTCAGGACGTGGTTATGGGCAGGGATTGCTCAGCGCTTCCCTGCTCCAGGAACGGGATTTCTCCACCATCCAGGGCGGTGGAAGGGGCTGCGAGCTGGGGACGAGCTGGGGACGGTGCTTCTCCCCCGCCTTGAGTTTTTCTGTGAATTTGGGTTTTTTCTCCCCCCTTCTCTCTTTTCAAGCTGCCTTTTGAAAACACGTTTTGCTTTTTTCCACCGGCCCCTGCCAAACTCCTCTCGACAAAGGGGGTGACTAAGTGAAGTCTCCGCAAAAGGAAGGACATTTTTTTTACTATTTTTTTCCAAGAAAGGGCAAAGTGAGCAGATGATCTCACCTTTCAGATGAGGATCCCATCCCCTCCTCAGTGCTGCACCAGGGCCCTGGGGAGGACGTGGGGGCAAGAGCTGGGACCACAGTGCTGGTACCCAAGCAAAACCCTCCAGTATCATCTGTGCAGGATTGGGCCCCGGGGGAAAGATGGGGGTTAAAAAGTGCCAGGTTTCTTTTACCACAGCCACTCATCCCACTGGGATTAACCACAACACACAGACAGCAGGAAAAGCCCCAAAGATCGGGCTGAAGCGGCGGCACCCAAGCGAGCGAGGGATGCTCCCGCATCATCTGGAGCAGCATCACCTGCTCTAATAAAATAATCCCTGCTCCCTTTGGGCTGTGGGGGGGTTTCCATCCTCTGCAGGGCTCAGCAGGATCCCGCCGCTTCCCCAGGCTGATTTTAACTCTCCCAAACCCAGCGACCCCCTCCTCTACCCCCAGTTTTCTGGGAGCCGAGCAACCCCTGTGCTCCACCAGGCAGCCAAAATAAACCCAGAAAAAGCTTTTCTGCTTCTGTTCTTGCCTGCTCCCCCCGAAATCTCCCAGCCTGCCCTCCCCACGCCCTGTTTCACTCCAAATATTTGCATGAAAACCCATCTCGCGGGAAAGAGCCCAATTTAAAATAAAAAGAAAAAAAAACCCACAGAAACCCAACAAAAACAAACAGATAAGAAAAATAAATAAGGGAAAATATCCCCTTTGAATCGCTGAATGAAGCGGGGAGCTAAAAAGCCCCATTGAGGAGCGCAGGGCGGATGATAGCTTCCCGATTGAGCCCGCGGGAGAAGTAACTCTGTTCAAGCTAATTAAGGCCTTTTAGGACATTCAGTCCAACGATGCTGGCATAACGGTGAGGAAAAGAGTCTCCTAATTGGCTTCCTGCTGGGGTGTCAGTCCCAAAGTCTTTATTATCCTTCTCTACACCTTTTCAACCCTTTCTTCCCTCCCTGGCCCTGTCGAAAGCATGGGCTGCTCTGGCATGGCTGGGCTGTGCTGCGGCATCGCCTACCCTGCTGCCTTGCCAGGCTGGTTTGCCCTCAAAAAAGCAAATTTGCAGCGGCTACGGGGCTGGTTGGGGCCATGGGGCTGGTTGGGGACCCCCCTGGGGTCAGGAGGGCTCAGGTGGGAGCACCGTGGTTCCTGCGCTGGGACAGCCTGCGCCTGCTCACCCTGAACCAGCCCCGGCAAGTGGCTTTGGCTCACTTGTGCTGCTGCAGAAGTGATGCTACGTGAGAAAAGAGACAAGCAAAGGTCTTTCCAGCACCTCTATTCATTGCTCCAGGGTTTTCACCTGCCTGAGACAGCTCTTGAGCTGCCCTCATCTTCCTGGGGTCTGTTGAAGCCCACATTACAGCCTCAAGCAAAACCAAGTGCAAGCTTTCACCTGAACCCCCCAGAAACATCTCCCTGGCAAGACTGGACAAGCCAAGGAGTGAAACCACCTGGGGCCACCCCTCCAGCAAAGCCCAAGTGCTGCCACCATCGAAATGTCACAAGCCTTGCCCCGAAAGCCACAGGGAAAGATAACGCTGCTGAGCTGGGAAACATGCTTCAAGGGGGACGCACGTGCCTTCTCTTCTTCCCTACCATGCGCTGAGTCAATGTGGATCACGACACGTATAAGTTTCCTGCAATGAAATGTCTGCTTTGTCGCCTCTTCAGAGAGTAAATGCTCCAGTGCATGCTCAGCCCTTAGGAGATGCTGGAGAAGCCAGGTGGGAAAATGAAGGAGTGCACGTGCCACGTGCGGGAAACGCATTTGTACCTTATTAACCAGCAGAGAATCCACCTGCGAGAAACCCAATGGCTTTAATAGCCTGGTGGTCAGCCCCACTCCTGTCTATAATAACCTCATGTTCTAGCAGTGACTTTCTCACGTGCAATTTAACCCTTTTCTCTAAGAAAAAAGGCATTTTTTGGACCTTTCCAACATCTGCTGCACCTCCGGCAGCTCCTATGAGCACGGCCAGACTTCAGCATGGCCTCGAGTATGGCCCCAGCCTTGGCAGCTCGTCCTTGCCAAGGGATGCTCTCCACAACCATTTTGTCATTTGGGTAATGGAAGAATAAACGGGAATGCAAATAAAACATTTTCCTCTGAGCCCACTTTCTTCTCCCAGGCTGGTGGGGAGGTGCCGGAGCACAAAGCCAGCGTGGAGCATCCGTTGGACAGCCCTGCCGGGAAGCGCCGTGTCCGGGGAAGGGCTGTTGAATGGGAATTCGTTCTGCTCTTGCAAACACTTCCCAGACACGCTGAGCTGCTGCTGTGAGCATGTTTGAAGGAGGGAGGAGGTATCACCACCTCTGGATGCTTTGATGCAGATGGGATGGGTTTTTTTCCTTAGCAATTTGGTGAAAATATATATATACACACATAACTATATGCATGCATATACATATAGATAATGTATTCCTCTACTGTGGAGGGGAAGGGCTGGCAAACACCGGGGCAATCGCAGCCCCAGTGGATGCTAAACCCTGCCCTGCAGCACCTTGGCATTCCCTGGTCGTTCCATGTTGGAAGGCTCAGCCCACTGCCAGCCCTGGCTCAAACCCAAAGCCTCGCGTTTGGTCCCACCTGCACTTTGCTCCCTCCCACGACAGTCTTTGGGGGAGTGAGAGAATTTCCAGCCCCTACGTATGCTTAGCACCGTTTCTACATATCCCCCAGCACAGAGCGCCTGTATTTAACCAGCTCTACCTGATTTTTCTGGGTTGGTTCCATTCCCGACTCTTGGCTTATCCCAATAGCGTTGGCACCGCTGGCGAAGGAGGGCAATCCTCCCGGCAGGTGGGACCGCAGCAGAGCCATCCCTCCCCAGCTGCCTGTGCTGGGGCGGCTCAGCACCGGTGGGCAACGGCCAAGCCGAGGCGGAGAGGGGTGCTGAGCCCCAGGGAGGGCTTCCAGGGGTTTCTTAGTGTGGCCTGAAGAAAATCCCCTCCCAGGGTCACCTCGGTCACCTCCTCCATGGACCTACTGGTGATGATGTTGGGAACGGACCCACGTTAAAAATAATCCCAGCAGCAGAGAGGTGGGGTGGGAGCTCGGGACATGCCTGCTCCAAGCTGCTGCTCCGAGCTGGAGCTGTGGAAGGGTGCTCAGGACCTCGAGTACCAGCAAGGATGGGGATCCCACAGCTTCCCTGGCTTGTCCCGGGGCTGCACCACCCTCTGAACTCACCTGGGAATTACAAGGGGGATGGATCCAGATGATGGGGAACCGCCTGCTGCTTTTCCCCACAGCAAAGCACAAGTTTTAAAAGCTGCTGCATGTAACAGCACAGTGAGAAGAGACAGGACACTGCGTCAGTGTAACCCAGAAGACACCCTGGGATGAAGACACTATGGACCCCGATTTGGGGGGTGTCTCAGCATCTGCAGGGGGACTCATTTTCCAAGCATCACATTGCATCGCTGCTTCATTGAGCATCACTCCCCAGGACTCCCTCTCCAAACCCGGCAAAAACCATGCCCCAAATTGCCCGGCGCACATGGTTACTGCAGAGCAGAGCAGAGCCAGGCTGCCTGGCCCCGGCATGGCTGAGACCCAGCCGGCAACTTGCCCCTGGGCTCGGTAGCCCTGGGGACACCCTGGGAGGGAGATGCTCTGGCTCTGCATCCCTTTGCAACCGCTGGTCCCTGGGAAGCAAGCGGCGGCCGAGAGGGAGGACTCACCATAGTCTTTCTTACAGTACTTCTTCATGTTGATCTTCAGCTTCCCCTTGGAGGCTTTGCAGTATGAGTCACAATCTGCACAGGAGAGGGGGAGGGCAAGAAAACATTAACAAAACAAATTAGCCTTAAAATGAATAAAAGCCTGGGGGAAGGGGGGGGACAGCTCAAAGCTGCAGCCTGCCATGAATAAGCAGCGTGCCTGTGATATCCATCTGCCAGGCCCCGATTGGGTCGTCTAAGGGGGCATTCAGAAAAACCTTCCTTTCTAAAGAAAGCTTTTCACAAAGGAAACCATCCTCCCGCCCGCCTCCCCCAGCCCGGCTTCCCTGGGCTGCCTCTGTCTTCCTGGGAGACCCCGGGGCCTCCCTTATTGTGCCACCCAGAGCTTTTGAGAGCCACACAAATTCCCCCTGTTCTCCAGCTCCCAACTGGAGCCTGCCCGGAGCCCACAGAGGCCCCATTGTCACCCCTAACCCGGGCCGGTGTCAGCCTTTGGCATTCATTGCCGAGAGATTCGGGCTGGGGTCACCCTCCGACAATGCGGGTCAGAGAGGAAATTAGCAGCCCATGAAGCATTAGCAAAGCCTTTTGGTGTCCACTCTACTGAAGTGTGCAAATAAAATACCCCAGTAGGAACATTTCATTTCTAATGGGCCCCCACTGCTGGGACACGCTGGCTTCGCTCGGCCGGCGCAGCGGCCGGTGCGGCGGGCAGGCAGGAGCGCTGGCATGGCAGCCTGGCAGAGCCAGCACAGCAACCTGGCAGTGCCGCTGGGGCTGGTGGGGCTGGAGCCCGGCCATGGTCCCGGGCGGCTGCAGGGATGCTGAGCCCTGCTCCCGTAGCTGCTGCTCCCAGGGAACCGCTCCTGTGTGGGATGCGGATGGATGGCATCGTGCAGTTGGTGCCCTCCAGCTGCTGCTGGGAACATCCCAGTGGCACCGCGGCCAGGCAATGCCGCTGTGGCTAGAGATGTGCTACCCCATGCCAGCATCAGGACTGGCTCATGGACGTGCTGTCCATGCACATCCCATGTCTCCTCAGCACCCATGGGTGCTAGAGAGAAGCCCCCAGCACCATGGAAACCCCATATTTGAGGGAAAATGGGACACATCTGGCCCCAGTGGGAAGCCTCGGTACAGTGATAGTCCTTGGGCATGTCCACCTCTCCCAACTGCCCATCGTTCCTCCACAGCCACCATTGGAGACCAGGTGTGAAAACCTGCTGAAACACCACAGTGGAGCCCCGGAGCTGTGCGAGAGGGGGCGGGATGCTGGGGACGCTGCTGGTACCCCACGGCCAGCGGACATGGCGTGCCCGTATCCCGCCCCAAGCCACATCAGCAATGCCAGACCAGAACCACACTTGTCCATGCAACACCCCAAGCTCCTGTCCACACTCTCCGGTGGACCACGATCTGAAACCCTGGGGGAGGAGCTGTGCAGTGTCCCCCTTAGCCCGGCTGCGTCACATACTGGGGTGGCCTGTGCCACAGCCTCAGCAGGGCTCGCGGCCCCATTTCTTATGTACTGCAGGAAGCAGTTCCTTCCTAGAGAAGCTCACGCTAAGCAGGCTGGGAGGGGAAACTGAGGCACAGAGCTGGGAGGTGGCTGCACAGCTATAGAAACTATGGCATTTCCCAGCGATAGCTCTGCTTGCAGCTCTGCTGTGTACACAGGGGCTGTGGTAGGAAGCCAGCTTTGGGACCAGGCCCTGTTGGAGGAGGTGGTGTCCAGTGGTAGATGCTCAAAGCCAGCCCAGGCAGGGAGGGCACCGATGGCTCCGACATGCTGCACGGGGTGCTCTGCACCCTCTCGGCTAATCAGCCTCAGTGCAGGAGGTGTTCCTGGGCCAGGAGGTGGGTTCAGAAACACAGGGAGCTTCCTCAGGTGGAAAGGAGATGCTCCAGGAGGTCTCAAGGACCCCAGATGCAACCCTCCCCATTGGCAGCAGAACCAAACCCTGCCTGAGCCAAGCAGCAGCTCCTTTTTCAGCTTGAGAGGGGGAACCAACAAGAGAAGGAAACCCGGAGAGCTGAACACCCACACTTCCCAAGATCTTCAGGTACCACCTCAGTACCAACACCTCTGATCCATATGTGTCCCAGCCCCTCTCAACACGGCCAGGCAGAGTCACCTCATCTCAGCACCATCCTCCTGCCCCGCTGCTCCCATTCCTCAGGAGAGCACCTGCAGTAATACACAGCTTCACGCTCTTTCAATGTGATCTAGCCAGGGCCAAAAGTGAAAGCTATGATATGAAGCGGGGCACCTTCCTCCTCCAAGAGGCCTGGCCAAGATATTTGTGCAGCTCCGACTGCCCAGAGCCCTTGGAAACCCAGGAGCCAAGCTGATGGCTGAGGGGTTCCAGCAGTTGATGCCTCCCCTTGGTTTTTCTCATCTAACGTGACCCTGAACATCACACAAAACTTGAAGTGCACTGAGAAAACAGTGGATATTCCATAAAAGCTGTAGTTCAGAGGATGGAGATTTGCTAGCAAAGCCCCAGCCATGCCTACGTGGCGGGATGACACCATGCACTGGGATGTGGCTGCCTGGTGTCGCCGAGCCCAGGGAACAGAAATGTTCCTGATCCAACTCACTGGTAAGATGTTCCTGGCCATAGCCATGGAAGGAATAGTCTAAGGGAAATAAACGCGCATGCAGCAACCTCGCAGCCCAGGGAGGTTTTCCCTCACCTGCTCGGTGGAGCAGAGGACTGACAAGAGACAGGGCATCGGGCTGCTTCGCCAGGCAGCCAGCGTGATTCTGCTCAACTGCAGATTGCTGATGTTTTCAGGACACTAACATGGTTATGGTAATCATGATGATGGTTCTCCTCTGGCATGAAAAACCAGGAGCGCTATAGATATTTATCATTGCTGTTGCATCTCATCCCCTATGCAGTAGCTGATCTGCAGAAGAGGCTGACCCAAGGGCAGGCAGGGAGCAAGCAACTGAGCAGGGACAACGCTTGGGAGCTCTGGCTGCAGATTTCTTCTCCCCTGGACAAATCCAAGTCAGACAGATCCTGGCAAGCCACTGGCTCTGAGCACTGGTGACAGGCAGGGATGGAAAGCAGCTCCCACCTGCATGCCTCATGGCTCAGCCCTGGGATCTGCAGGCAGGTCTCCACCAGCCAGGCTGGCAGAGCCCACCAGGAGCAGATCCTCCTCCAGCCCCACAGTACTGCTTCTGGGATTCAGCCCCAAGAAACAGCAATCGCATAGAAACGATCACTCTGGACTTCAGTCCAGACCACTCACAAGAACAACCTCAAGTCTCTTCAGCAACCTCTCCCCACGGAAACATTCTGAGCCACACCTGAGCTTCCCAATCCCTATGCTCCTGACACGATATTTCCAGTCTGCCTGAGATCACAGACCTGCCAGAAAACCATCCCAGCAGCATTTCCCAGCCAGGGAGGCTGCATGACAACGGGGCATCACCCAGCTGCCCCCCAAGCCCTGCAGGACAGCACCCCATCCCCACAGCCTCTGCTTGCTCCCTAGGTGCAAACCTAAAACCAGGTTCATGGCTCAAGACACCCAACTACAGCCCAAGTCTAATCCTGCTTTTACTAACACAACCCCATCTGCCTTTCCTTTCTCTTTCTTTTTCTCCCAACCCCATGAGCTATGCCAGAGCCTCAGCTGGTTTAAATTGAACTTGATGTGGCCAGAGCCAGCTGGTGTAAATCAGTGTAAATCACCAGACGCCAGGGCTGATTTCCATGGGTGGAGGATTTGCCCCAGTTCATTTCCTTTGTCTCCTCCATAGAGAGCCCTCCTGCCTCCTGGGTGACTTGGAGGTCCTCCGGGGCCTCTTTGGGAGGGGAGATGAAATATCTCAGAGCAAAGCATTGAATTGGTGTTTGCTGGTAAGCAGTGCTATGTACGTGGGGTGATGCTGCAAGATCACTGCTTGCTCAGGGAATGCACACAGAGGGGATGCTGCAGGATATTATTTCAGTGCTGCCTAACGCCTAGAAGAGACCCTGCTCTCATCCATCAGGTGATGTTTCAGCAGTTTAGGCTCTGGGGGAAGGTTTGCTGGGCTGCCGGTCCCTTGATAGAAGGTGATAGCACAGCCAAGCTCAAAGGCTGGGGAAGGGATGGGAGGAAGGGGCAGCAGGCTGAAATCTCTTCTCGAGGATTGATTTGGAGCCTGGAGTGCTCTAAATGCTGTTTCAGTGACTCGTGCATGCATACAGGAGATATACGTGTGATGTGAGACTCTTGCAGAACTTAGCCCCAAATTCTCCTGTTACAAACCTACGGAGTCCCAGGGCACGTGTGCTGTCCTGGCTGCACGAAAGGCTCGGGTCCCGCAGGTCCCTCTCGCCCATCCCCATGAGGCTGCAGAGGATCAGCTGGGGGTAACCTGCCCTTGGAAGGTGATGCCAGAGTCTGACCCAAGACGAGGCTGAGAGTAAAAGGAGGCTGTCTGAAGAAGTGAAGCCCCCTTTGAGATGGGGAACAACCTGGTACCTGAAGCGTAGGGTGGTAAGTGTCCAGCTCCTGTCCACCCAGGCCCTACAGGCATGACGGGGTGGATGCTACTTGGCTCTGCTCTACAGGACTGGTGGATGGGGTCAGACCCAGCTCTCTGCCCCACCATGGGGTGCACAGATGTCCCCTGTGCACAGGGGTGCAGAACAAGGGTTGGTCCTCACCCCAGTGCTGTCCTGCCCTGCTCTTCCTCCCGGGCAGACCTGCCCTCTTGGCCTGCCAGGCCACAGGCAGGGCTTGCCTGCCCTCAGCAGACCCTGAAACTTCTCTGAGTCCCTTCTAGCCTGCATTTGGCCTGGCCATCCCCCTTCTGAAGGACTCAAACACCCCTGGCCACAGCACCGTGGTGCAGGAGAAATCGAGTGTTGAGATCTGAACGCCCCCCTCCCCCTGCTCCCAGTGCTTTCCTCCCTGAGTTTGCTCAGCTGCACAAATATTTCAGTGCAAATCCCCATTTCAGCAATGCAAACCCAAAGCACAACCAGACCCCAGCGCTTTTTTTTTTTTTTTTTTTCCCACTCCCTCTCACACCGCCCGACACCCACCCCG